CAGGAAGTGGACCAGCATTTATCGGCAGCTACCATCAAAGAGGAACTGCCCCAAGGTAGGATCTCAGTCATTCCTCCCAACAGCCTTCCTCCCAATTTACCCACAAATAAATTGGGAATCTTATTAATTCATCAGAGATCTTATTTCCTCAAAGTCACACAGCTTGTAAGTGCAATGCAATTAAGAATTTTTTTTTTTTTTTTGAGACGGAGTTTCGCTCTTGGTGCCCAGGCTGGAGTGTGATCTCAGCTCACCGCAACCTCCACCTCCTGGGTTCAAGCGATTCTCCTGCCTCAGCCTCCTGAGTAGCTGGGATTACAGGCATGAGCCAACACGCCTGGCTAATTTTGTATTTTTAGTGAGACAGGGTTTCTCCATGTTGGTCAGGCTGGTCTTGAACTCCCTACCGCAGGTGATCCACCTGCCTCAGCCTCCCAAATGCTCGGATTACAGGCATGAGCCACCGTGTCAGGCCAAGAATTTTTTTTACACAAACAACTCCCTTTTCCTTGAGTTAGGTTAATCCTGACTCCAAAGTCCATGTTCTTTCCACTACATTTTTTTTTCTTTTTGAGATGGAGTTTTGCTCTTGCTGCCCAGGCTGGAGTGAAATGGTGTGATCTCAGCTCACTGCAACCTCCACCTCTTGGGTTCAAGCAATTCTCCTGCTCCAGCCTCCCAAGTAGCTGGGATTACAGGTGCCTGCCACCATGCCTGGCTAACTTTTGTATTTTTAGTAGAGATGAGGTTTCACCATGTTGCTCAGGCTGGTCTTGAACTCCTGACCTCAAGTGATCCACTGGCCTCGGCCTCCCAAAGTGCTGGGATTACAGGCGTGAGCCACAGCACACCCAGCCTCCAGTAAGTTCTAATGTCTCCCTTCAGGGCCATACGAGGGAAAGTCTCAAGGTCCCTCGGGGGCTGCCGGCACATCAGCATCCCAGGGCTCTTGCCCTCTTCTACAATAAATAGAAATATATTAGCTTAAAATAATGCTATAAACTACTCTGAGCCACAGAGTTGCTGTTTTGATACTATTCTCTGAGCCTAAGACAGAAGAAAAGCTTCTCCTTGGTCCCGTTTGGTACATCAGTAAGTCCTAATATTTAGGGTACAAAATGGTTGTGTTTATGATGAAATCTGCTGTTTAGCAAGCAGAGCACTACAAGAGCAGTGTGTATTTCTTTCATTTGAAATAAATTTTTTAGGCCAGATATGGTGGTTCACACCAGTAATCTCAGCACTTTTTGGAGGTGGAGGCAGGAGGACTACTTGAGGCCAGGAGTTCAAGACCAGCCTGGGCAACACAGTGAGAACCCTGCCTCAACAACAAAAAAATTATTTTAATTAGCTGAGGAGGGAGGATTGCTTGAGCCCAGGAGTTTGAGGCTGTGATCGTGCCACTGTACTCCAGCCTGGGCAACAGAGCAAGACCTTTTCTAAGAAACAGGTTTTTTTGGTTGTCTTTTTTATTTTTTTTTAAAGCAGTTACCCTTATAGTTAGAAAACAGAATGTTGAAATTTCCTTGTTTTAAAATCTAAACATTGGACTTATGCAATAGTAGAGTGAACAGAACCAACTAGCTGGGTGTAATTGTTTTCTGAGCTCTGTGTCTGGGCTATCAGCCATCAGGAAAATCTCTCCTAGGATTCCATACGTATTCCATAAAATGCCTCTACAGAATTATCTCATCATAAATCACAACATCCCATCTATTTTTACGGGGGGAAGGAGGAGGGACCCTGTACCATGAAGGTAAGAATAAAAATTGCATTATAAAACTCTGCCTTCATCCAGCCACAAGTTTATTAAAAGTTCTTCTTCTCATCTTAAGTTTAAATAAGAGCTCTTTTCTTTTTAATATTTCAACAAGTTTATTCATTTCTTTACAGTAGTGGGATAATGAAAAAAAGAGGGGAAAAAAACCTTTCTCCATTATTCCTAGATCAAATTTTCATACTAAAAAAGTTGGTAAAATTAAAACTTGTAGACTATTTAGAAATGTGCTATTATGGACAGCACCACCCCAAAACTGTTCATCTGTTTCATCAACATAGCATTCCTCATCTTCATCTCAATGACTGCCTAGTTGGCCCCATTTTTTTTTTCTTTCCTTCTTTTTTTTTTTTTTTTGAGGAGTCTCACTCTTGTCATCCAGGCTGGAGTGCAATGGTGCAATCTTGGCTTACCGCAACCTCCGCCTCCTGGGTTCAAGCCATTCTCCTGCCTCAGCTTCCCGAGTAGCTGGGATTACAGGTACCCGCCACCAAGCCCAGGTAATTTGTTTGTATTTTTAGTAGAGACAGAGTTTCACCATGGTGGCCGGGCTGCGTCTCAAACTCCTGAGCTCAGGTAATCCACCCGCCTCAGCCTCCCAAAGTGCTGGGATTACAGGTGTGAGCCACCACGCCTGGCCATCAGCCCCATTTTTAAGTGGGAGACAAGTTCAAGGAAATGTTTCTAAACATGCCACTAACTTAAAACTACAAGCAGAGTACAATTCTGAGTCATGCTTATTAACTTGTTAAACACTCAATATTCACAAAGTTAACTGGGCCCGGTGGCTCACGCCTGTAATCCTAGCACTTTGGGAGGCTGAGGTGGGTGGATAACTTGAGGTCAGGAGTTCGAAACCAACCTGGCAAACATGGTGCATCCACACCTCTACTAAAAATACAAAACAAAAATTAGACGGAAGTGGTGGCAGGCGCCTGTAATCCCAGCTACTTGGGAGGCTGAGGTAGGGGAATCACTTGAACCCAGAAGGCGGAGGCTGCAGTGAGCTAAGATCGCGCCACTGCACTAAAGCCGGGACGACAGAGCAAGACTCTATCTCCAAAAAAAAAAAAAAAAAAAAAATTCACAGAGTGGTTACTAAGTGTCAGGTACTATTCCAGACACTGGACTTTCAAAAACCAACATGAAAACTATTAGAGTTGGGCCAGATAAATTTCAAATAAATTCTACTTACAGAATCATTTTGAAATACACAGACCATCCCTGATTTACAACCTTTTCGCTTACTATTTTTCCACTTTATGATGATGGGAAAGGGACATGCATTCAGTAGAAACTGCTTTAAATTTTGATCTTTTCCCAGGCTAGCCGTACACAGAACAAGGGTGTCTTGAGGCGCTGGGCAGCAGTGACAGCAAATCGCGGTTTCTGGTCAGGCATGCAATCACAAGACCAAACAACCAGTACTCCGCAGTGTACTAAGCTGCCAGCATTTTTGGATGTTGTTTTGTGTTTTCACATCCCATCCTATCTATAAATGCCCAATTTTTACTTATGATATTTTCAACTTCTGATGGGTTTATCTACTCATAAGCCCCAGGAACATCTGTAACGCCTTGGTCTTCTTTCCCCCAGAGAATCATTACATTGAAATCTAATGTTTCAGGGAATACTTTTTCGAAAAATAAGGGTCCTAAAAGGAAACCTTATTAAAAATAAAGCACTTTCACTAACAAAATATATGTCACTGTCATGTAACCACAGAGCTCAAAGGGATTCCAGGAGAACATCAAAGTAGACTCCTAACCCTAGCCATGACTGTGCCAAAACTGTCCTACATGAAAACTTTAATAAAACACAGCAAGTAAATATTACAGCAAAGCAGCATTCATTTACAAGAAACAAATGTTGGAACTGATTTTCCTAATCTAACTGGGATTCTGAACAGAGGAGAAACTCTGTCTACTATTAATAGGTTAGGCATTGTTTTTCTCAGGGAAAAAAAAGTTATATGAAGAAACTACATATATTTTTAAAATGTTATTTAGCACATGCTTTCTGTTTGTTAAAAAGAGCCGCTAGGGCCACAGCTCTTAATGCAAGAGCTGAGCTCTGGCTCTTTCCTTGGACTCTGATCCATTCCACCCTCTCCAGCCCCCAGGGAGTTTTTAATCTGATCCGTCAATTCTGGCAGGAGCTACATTTCCTAGAGAGGAGGGTCAGTATCAACCTCTGGCTAGGGCTCACGCTTTTATGGAGCTGCCTATAAGGTTTCAAGATTTCAACCTCAAGTATGGTCCTAGTGGAAGTGAAGGAGAGCAGAGGCTGCCAACCGTGGTGCATGTTCTGCCCAGCTTTAAGGGTAAAAGCTGCCCCTGTCCTCCAGCCCAGCTCAGCATAGTCCTCTCTTCTGCATGAATATTTGGAGGCCAAAGCCAGAAGGAATCAGGAAGGGGGGCTCTCCTCTGCCTCCCTGTGCCATCATCTCTTGCTCACCTGTGCCATTCAGGGACTTGCTGAGGGGCTGGGTGTGGTCCAAAGCTTTCTTAGCCTCAGTCCTTCTACAAACTGGAAAAAGGAACTTACTCTGGGCCGGCTCCTGCTGGATCCCGGGGCTGCTGGCTGCCCTGTTGCGGGCACTGCTTGGGCTGCCCCCAAAGTGGGCCTGGTATGGTCTTGAGTATTCCTGGATACCTTGGCAAAATGCCATCAAATAGCAGGACCAATCCTAAAACAGTTTCTGCATCTAGTGGTGATTTTCATACTGTTCTGACATGACTCTGGGGCTCCAAGGATGTGCTTCATGGGTCAACACAAGGGGAAATCAGGGAGACACAGAGACTGATCCTATTCCCATTCCTCCCGACAATCTGGCTCTCATCTGCTTTTACATAGTGAAATTCCATGAAGATTTCTTTGGAAGATAAAGGATTTTACTAATTTTTAAGAGACTGTGAAAACCGCTATTTCTAGTTTACCTCACACACATACAAATCATCTACTTAAGGTCACAACTAACCTGACTGCTAGAGGCCAGTAGGGGGCACTTCACTGTGGCAGCAGACACCTCAACCGCCATCTTGGTCTCTCTTTGCTCAACAGCATGGTTCTATCAGGTAGCCCACAGTCTAAGTTTCCTACCCTATATACTAATGTTGACGACTGCTAACATTTCAGAAACGTACCCTCTTAGGAAAAGGTTAACATTTCTTCGAATGATCTGACCTAATCAGTGGCTCAACACCAATGTGAAGATATTTACCTGACAGGAAGTCATGGGAGCAGTTGAGAACAGTAATTCCTGGTTGTATCCAAGTAAGGGGAATCTCTTCTGGCTTACGTGAGCCTAGGACCACAATGTCAGCCTCGTGAAGCTAAAAGGAGAAGGAAAAAAACATGCACAGTTTGATCTGAGGCATAAAGACACAACTAACCACTGATGTCAAATGAGTTCAACACAATCCCAGATCCACAGCTTTGTTCCAAGCTGCTGACAAGGATGGAATCGCTTTACTAATTCCTTTCAAGCATGTATTAATACAAACAGAAAATGATTATCATATCCTAGAAAGAAAAGAAAATAGGACTTAAAAAATATCTTCAGGGTAGTCACTTCAGCATACATACTGCATGTGGAATATTATCATTTACATGTTTTCACCACTAACTATAATATCAAGAAAAATGATGGGGCAGCCAGGCACAGTGGCTCACGCCTGTAATCCCAGCACTTAGGGAGGCCGAGGCAGGTGGATCATGAGGTCAGGAGTTCGAGACCAGACTGGCCAACACGGTGAAACCGTGTCTCTACTAAAAATACAAAAATTAGCCAGGCGCACTGGCAGGGGCCTGTAATCTCAGCTACTCAGGAGGCTGCGGCACAAGAATCGCTTGAACCCAGGAAGCAGAGGCTGCAGTGAGCCAAGATCACACCACTGCATTCCCACCTGGGAGACAGAGCGAGATCCTGTCTCAAAAAACAAAAAAGAGGAAAACAAGGATGAAGGCCATGAGGTCTGGCCCACACAGTGGGCTTGTTGGCCTGTATAATGGCACCATCACAATGAGACCCCTATAGAACTGTTACTACACCCATGGAAGGATTTTCAGGAGCTTGAGAAAGAATTTCACTTTCTCTGAGGCCCTGGTTAGTCTCTTGTCCAACCGTTCATTTTTTCATTTTTTTGCCTTGAGAAAGTAGAAAGAATGCAACCACTCCAACAAAATGCATTGATCGTGTCCATCCTATTTGCATTTTGATCATCCAGTACTGGAGGAACAAGTCTGGTAGGAAGTTGACATTAAGACAAAGTGGTAGGCAAAGAGGCTGGCTCTGACTTTAACCAAAGAATAGCTCCCCAAGCCCCACTGAGCAACTGATGATTTCAAACTGGATCCCTATGCGGAGCGAGGGGTGAATAGAAATATTAGACTTGCAGAAGAGAATAGCTACAATTGTACAGGTCAGCTAGGTGTTGTAAGTATTACCTCACTGAATATTCCAAATGAGTGAGATTGGTGTTACTCTGCTCATTTAACAGACAAGGAAACTGGGGCTCTCAGACACAAATAGCTCTACGGTATGTCCTGTGTCTCCTAGTGAATCCAGTCTTAGAGATCCTAGTGAACCTAGGCAGAAAGAGGGCGACTGACAGTCCCTTCCCCCACTGTCTTTCCTGTGGACTTTGATGTCCTGCAACTAACCACAGAGTCTCTGGGGTCAAACAGACAGAGGGGCAGATTATGGAACACAAAAGCATCCCCACTGCCACTGCCGCCACCAAACCACCAAATAAACGTGCTGGAGACACCCTTATCCATTCTCAGCTTACAGGCTGATCATTATAGATCCTGTGGAAGAACCAGGACAGCTCCTCAGCCTGAGGACGATTAACACTATTTGGGCAAAAGGGTGCATCAGCTGATGCCTTTTAGAAATCTTGGGACAAGAGATGATAATGGGAGCAAACCTTTGACAGTCCTACCTGGTTTATGAACAGAAAAGCCAAGATCAAGGGCAGATCCAAGTCCCCTGACAGAGGAGGAGCATGATAAAAATGTAAATGCATGTCTTTTCATAGAGCTGACAAAGCCAACTTTAAAAGTTAACACCTTGGAAATATTTGATCAATTTGACCATGTGAATAGTGAAAAGTGTATTAACATTCATTGATTATCCAATAATAAGCCAAACAGTATTCCCTGCTTTTCAGCTTCTGACTGTATGAATCTACTGTATTAATCACCTTAAAAAGAAAAGAGAAAGCCCTACTAAAACATTTGCCTAGGCCAGACATGTTGGCTCATGCCACCATGCTGGGTAATCCCAGCACTTTGGGAAGCCAGGGTGGGAAGACTGCTTGAGCCCAAAAGTTTGAGAACAGATTGGGCAACATAGGAAGGCCCTGTCTTTACAAAAATAAAATAAAATAGAAATCAGCCAGGTGTGGTGAGGCATGCCTGTGGTCCTAGCTACTTTGGAGGTAGAGGTGGAAGGATTGCTTGAGCCCAGGAGGTCATGGCTGCAGTGAGCCGTGATCAAGCCGCTTCACTCCAGCCTGGATGACAGGGCAAGACCCTGTCTCAAAAACAAAACAAAACACATTTGCCTAAATAACCATTCTTCTGTGCCACAGGGCCAAGATACCACCAAACCTCACCAAGAACTTTGCAGCCAAATGAGAATCGCTTGAACCTGGGAGGCGGAGGCTGCAGTGAGCCAAGATCGCACTACTGCACTCCAGCCTGGGCAATGGAGTGAGACTCTGTCTCAAAAAAAAGAATTGTGCAGCCAATATCACCAGCAATCTAGTCCCTTAAGCCACCATTGTGATGGTGCCATTATACAGGCCAGCAAGCCCACTGTGTGGGCCAGACCTCACCTATCTGAAAAACAGCTAGAGTTCCTGGTGATGGTATATTTAGGGAGAAAGAAGTGTTCTAGTAGAAAGAGGATTTTAAACATCTGTATAAAAAATTGTATTTCTTCATTTATATATAGTACTGTCAAAAATTCAACCACAGTAATCCTCAAGAGAAATGCAGATGTTTAAGCTTTGTCGCAGTTCTGCAGATAAGAAACACCATTTTGCTAGATTTTCAGGCAGAATAGCAGCAAAACCAGAACATGGTAAAACAACTGTAAAAAGGAGGTTAATATGAACACGGCTGAAATGTTCATTTTGGAGAAAGCCAAGGATCACAGGTTCACACAAGTCCCCTAAGAACAGTTAGTTTCCTACACGTGGTATCTTTGATACAACCTGTTCTTTTCATTACCTATAAATCTTGGAAATCTCATTCCAACCCCTCAACTCCATACCTACACACAACTCTAAAGTGGGATGTGCTCATCCGCAACTGGGGAACAGCTAATTCCACAGAGAAAACACAAAAATCTCCTCGCTTAGCAATGATTGCATCGTAGATGTTAATTCTTTCTGGAAAGGAAAAGTGCTAGATGCTTAAATCAGTAAATACCACGCCGAGGACAAGGTAAGATTTTAATGAGCTAAAATTCAAGGAGAATTTTCGTCTCACTTGCTGTTCCTACTCTCCTCCTCCCAAATGGGAAAGACCCCAGCCAAAGCTTGGCTTAAAACTCTACCTCATAACAAAGTATTGCTTTTTCTGCCGAGAAGAGTGGAGCAGCTTAAAGCAAACCACCCCATTCCCCAGGCAGAGAACCGAATTTTAAAACAACAGCAAGACGCAGATACGCAGACACTTAACAGGGAGCGTGTGGGGGTGCAGTAGTTTAGATAACACGAAGATGAATTTTCTCAAAGTCATAAATTTTTAAGCTAGAGAGACAAGCATCTGAATATAAAGAGATGGGGGAAAGGGAGGACAGATGGAATTTGGAAAGTTATATAGAATATTGTAATTTTGTATTTAGCAAATAAAATGCATTAAAATGTTTTAAACTAAATACAGCCCTACCCTCTTGACTGGAAGACAGTATGTATCTTCTGCTATCAATGTGTTTTGAAACAGTTCATATCAATAAGAATCTCAGGTATGAGATCTGTATATACTTCAAAATCCAGAATGGGTAAAACAAAAGATATTTTCTAAAGAACTGTGGTTTATATCACTTGAGACTTATGACAACTGTTTCTATGTCCTTCAAACATTACCAACAAAGTTCAGAAAACCAAGTTCAATTCCTCATGAGGGTCAGTTGAATAAAAAAGAAAGAAAACAATGTTCAAAATGATGGACATTACTTTTAAAAATTAACAGGTAGGCGCTTTGTCCAGCAATGATGTGCTTCTAAAATTACAACTGAAGACATTGGCATTCTCGACTAGTGCCTGAGTGACGGCTGGTCAATGGTCAGACACAGAGAACAGAGCAGGGTGTGGAGGGCAAGCGAGGGGCTCTACCACGCCGAGGTGGTCCCTTGCTTGATTTTCACTCTAATGAACTGGGACATACTGTAGTTTGTGTGCGCCCAGTTAAGTGGATTTATGGGTTACATTACGCTCCACTGCAGATTCTTCACAAGACTTTATTTAATTAGTTATTTATTTTTGGAGACGGGGTCTCACTCTGTCCTCTAGGCTAGAATGCAGTGGCATGATCTCAGCTCACTGCAGCCTTGACTCCTGGGCTTAAGCGATCCTCCCACCTCAGCCTCCAAGTAGCTGGGGCTATAAATGTGCTCCACCATGCCTGGTTCATTTTGTATTTTAAATGTTTTTTGTAGAGACAGGGTTTCACCATGTTGTCCAGGCTGGTCTTGAATTCCTGGGCTCAAGTGATCCCGGCCTGGGGCTTCCAAAGTGCTGGGATTACAGGCGTGAGCCACTGTGCCTGGCATACAGTACTTTATGATCAGACAGGGCATGTCCATGAAAATCTTAGGTAGCAGGGGACTCCTAGACTACCTTGTGGCAAAGTTTCTATAAAGAGTTAGAAGTCAGTTTTCTAAGAAACATATCACTTTTATCAGATGTCAAAATGTGTGCACTTTTTCTTTTTCTTTTTTTTTTTTTTTGAGACAGAGTCTTCGCTCTGTTGCCCAGGCTGGAGTAGTGGCACGATCTCGGTTCACTGCAAGCTTCGCCTCCCGGGTTCACGCCATTGTCCTGCCTCAGCCTCCCGAGTAACTGGGACTACAGGTGCCTGTCACCACGCCCGGCTAATTTTTTGTATTTTTAGTAGAGACGGGGTTTCACCACGTTAGCCAGGATAGTCTCGATCTCCTGACCTCGTGATCAGCCAGCCTCAGCCCCGCAAAGTGCTGGGATTACAGGCGTGAGCCACTGCACCCAGTCACACTTTTTCTTAATATAGAAAAGAAGCTATCAGGTTGGGCTACAGTGTGTGGCTCACACAGTCAGATGTGTTTTAGGAAGATTCCTCTGGA